AAACTTTACACTTTTGATAATCCTTTGAGGCTTTACCCTTTAATTATCATGATTTTAGAGTTTAAATGTGGTTAAGTAAGGGAGACCTTACATTGACATACTACATATTATCATGCTAAGGCTATAAGATGATCTAAGAGACAAAGGGTGGTGGCTTTGAAGGGGGATAATGGCAAGTGGTGCCTAAATGATTTTACTCATGAGAAGAGGATGTTGTTGATCCATATAGTGACATGAGACTTTTCTAAATCTTAATAAGGCACATGAAATGGATCTTGGTTGATTTTCTTAGCAGTTTAGGATATAAGGTCAGTAATAGCAAAACTCAAGTTTTCTTCTTAAAAAATATTTTTGGTAGCTAAACAGATTGGTGTTGTAGTGAGTAAGGATTTTGAAGAACCGATGATCTTTGAAAGTATTTAGGTGTTCCTCTCTTACACAAGAGAATCAGACTTGATACTTATCAGTATATAAAGGATAAGGTGAAATGAAGGCCTTTCAAGGTGAGATGCTAAAACTCTTTTGCTTGTTAGTCGCATCACTCTTGCTACTTAAGTGTTACAAGCATTATCTTTTTATCCTATTTAAGCCACTAAATTGCCAAGTAGTCTATAAAGTCCCCTAATTAATTGGGATTTTACCAATCCTTACACACATTAGCACACAATAATAATACAATATCAAAGTAGTAGCCTTTATTTGTTTTCAAAATGTGATATCCTGATTTCGTAAAAAGTATGTTCAAATAAGAGGGCTAACGGGAGCATAAACATAATTTCATGACTCAAAGAATGAACAATCAATTTCTCTAAAAAGGGGCTATGTGCAGTGACTCATACCACATGCATTGCGACCTATACACCATGCACCGTGGTGCATGTATCAAATTCTATTGTTAGAGTAGCTTTTTGATGAGAACTTTTGCTATGCGCCATTTTCACATTTGATATCCGATTGGAGTAATTCAAGTGCTCACACTAAACTTATAACATATTCTATCTAATGAGATAAGTTTGAACGTGATCCTTAGTACTTATTAAGGTATGATATTGGAGATTATCTCCTTAGTGCCCATAAGGGTGTGGTGTTGGGGATTTAAGTTCCTTAACATTTGTGTGATGCGGTGTTGGAGACAACGACACTCCATATGTGTATGATGGGGAAAAATATAGTTCAGAAGTAAGATAGAATACCTTTAGCTGGGTGATTCTACTGTTAAAGGTGCGCTCAGGTTAATAAGTGTGTATTGGCCTATTATGAGCCTATAATTTCAGTTAAAGTGATTTAGAGATTTAAATAGTAGTGATTATGCTAGAATATGTGGTGATTTGTTGAAAAAACTAATTTTGATGTAAAAGCTGAGATATATGCTATATTCATACATAAATTATCTTATACTTGCTTATAGTTACCAATGATAGTGGATAGTAGCAAGTTATTTTATTACTGAGATTATTATCTCACCCTGTGGTTACAATTTTTTACAGGTCAAAGCATTAAGTCAAGAAAATGGAAAGACTTAGGACTGGCTTAGTGTTGACAAAGCCATGCAAAATCAAAGCTTGTGTAATGAACTAAGCATATTGTGAATGTTTGTAAATAAAAAGTTGCCATAAGATCATTTGCATGTTGTGAATTGTGATTGTAGTAATTTATGAAGTCTTAGCCTTGCATGTGTGGAAAATTATGATTTGTGTATTAAGTCATGTGATATAGGCTAAGGTTTAGTTAAAAATGTGCTATAAATGTATAAGTAATGATTATGTGGAGAAAATGTGCTAGCTGTTAACAACTTAGCCCTTTGTAACAGTCCTTACTCCACCCTCTCGAGGGTCTTTTAGACTGGACTCCAACACTCCTCATGGAGCCTAAGCCAGCTTTTCCTAATGTGATACTTGGGTTATTTCTTACTTTACCAAAGAGATCTTTTAAAACTTACCCAAACTTGAACTTCCAACCTTTACCACTTTAAGAAAGTTGAGGCTAAGTCTGGTACCATTGAGTCATGTTGACCTAATGATACCAGACTTAGCCTCAATTTTCTTAAGTTGGTAGAGGTTGGAGGTTCGAGTTTGGAAAAATTCCAAAAGACTGCTTTGATAGAGTGAGGAATAACCCAAGTACCATCTTGGAGAAAGTAAGCTTGGGCTCTGCGAGGAGTATTGGAGTCCAGTCCAAAAGACCCCTAAGAGGATGGGGTGAGGACTATTACATAAAAGGCATGCCTTTTATGTAACAGTCCTCACCCCATCCTCTTAGGGGTCTTTTGGACTGGACTCCAATACTCCTCGCAGAGCCTTTTATGTAACAGTTCTAACCCCATCCCACCGAAAGTCTTTTGGACTGGGCTAACCCACATCATGTAGCTGAAGCCAGCTTTCCCTAAGGTGGTACTTGGGTTATTTCTCACCCTACCAAAGAGATCTTTTGAAACCTTTCCAGACTCGAACCTCCAACCTCTGCCACCTTAAGGAAGTTAGGGCTAAGTCTGGTACCATTGGGGAACCTCCAACCTCTGCCACCTTAAGGAAGTTAGGGCTAAGTCTGGTACCATTGGGTCACATGACCCAATGGTACCAGACTTAGCCCTAACTTCCTTAAGGTGGCAGAGGTTGGAGGTTCGAGTCTGGGAAGGTTTCAAAAGATCTCTTTGGTAGGGTGAGAAATAACCCAAGTACCACCTTGGAGAAAGTTGGGGCCACTATGCTAGTAGTTAAGGCTCCAGTCTAAAAGACCTATGTGACCCAATGGTACCAGACTTAGCCCTAACTTCCTTAAGGTGGCAGAGGTTGGAGGTTCGAGTCTGGGAAGGTTTCAAAAGATCTCTTTGGTAGGGTGAGAAATAACCCAAGTACCACCTTGGGGAAAGTTGGGGCCACTACGCTAGTAGTTAAGGCTCCAGTCTAAAAGACCCCTAGTAGGGTGGTGTAAGGGCCGTTACACCCTTGATGTGAAAAGTAGTGAATTGTAGCCATGGGCTAAGATTTTATTATGATTGTGTACAAGTGTGTTAATGGTAGTAAATTTGTGGTGTATGTGTGTTTGATTTGTGAACAGAATGGCCAAGAACACATTATTGTGTTCAGTTGTGAAAACAGCCCTTAGTGTGAAAGTAAGTGGTTGAATGGCCAAATCTTAATTTGTGTATACATATGATATAAATTGTGATTAATCAGGTGTATAAGGTCCTTTGGACTTGATTTCAAACCCATAATGGTCTAATGAGACTAAGTAAGTGATTTAAACACTTTGGCGTGTAAATATCTTATAAAAAGTGACTTTTTGCATTTGAGTGTTCAAATTTTGATTGGATTATTAAATTGTGTCTAAACTTATCTCATTAGTTAGCTTATGAAATAAGTTTTGTGTGGGCACTTAAATCACTTTGATCGAACGTCATATGTGGAAACGGCACATGCCAAAAGTTTGCCTTGCAAACTGTCATATGATAATAGAAATTTTTGTCATGTGCGCTACGGTGCATTGCACGTCACGCTGTGGTGCATGACACAGACAAGGGGAGCATGTGGCTCTATGTCACATGTCGCGACACATGTAGTGCACGTGGTGGCGCATGGCCCATTTTTTTGGCCTAGTTTTTTTAATTTCAATACTTGAGTGAGTATTAATGAATGCATATATGTGTTTTTTACTGTGCAATGTTTGAAATGTAAAAGATCTTAATGGTTTTAAAAATAAAGTCTTGGGTCCTAAGCTTTTCAAGTAAATTTTTTTGAATTCAATTTGGTGTGGATGTGATGATTAGGTTAACCCATTCCAATATCAGGTAGATATTGGGGGAGATTACAAAACTCAACATGTTGATGTAGGTGTTGACATTGACCCTTCCATTATTATTACCATGTCTGGAAATAAGAAGAGGACAAGGAACAATCGTGATATGATAACCTTTTATGGAGGCTCTTGAAAAGATGATGAACAACGCATACTAAGGAATCTAGGAAGCATCTACAAATTTGGGATCTTATATTGACAAGATAGCATGATCATCTGGCTAGATGTAAAGCATGAAGTCCTATATGAAGAGCTTTGTTAAAAATTATTAAAGATGAAGAGCTCCTTATTATCTTTCCAACCCTCCCAAAATTGGCTATGGTCTAAAGGCTTCTTGCATGGTCTAGTTGTCTACATAAAATATATTGTGCAGGAGTAATTTAAACATGATATGATTGATCATATTTTGTAAATTTTGTAAGTAATAGAATTCTCTGCCACCTATTTGTATATGCAAGGGTTAAGTGTTAGCTATTTTTGATAACCTTTTATCATTTTATATGTGAAAAGTGAACACAACTTGATGACCTTAATATAACGTACCATTTTTTATAACTTTGTCATTTTGTATATTTTATATCAATTATGTGTGTATATTATGTATATAATGCTATAAAATAAACTACTAAACACCTAACAAGCACGAAAGACCAAATTGTGATAGTGTGTTGGGTGTTAAGAAAATGGATGCTTAGGGTAAATTATTTTTTTAATTGATAGAGTTATTTTAGCAAATCGATTATATAAATTCATATATTAAATACAAAATATATTATAATGGAAAAAAATTGACAAGGACGTTTTAATAAATTGATAATATAAATGCATATATTAAATAAAAATATATCATAATTAAAAAAATTGACAAGAGTATTTTAATAAATTTATTATATAAATACATATATTAAATAAAAAGTATATCATAATTTTATATATATATCAAACATAATTTTAAAACTCACTTCTACCTTCATTTTTTTCTTCATCTTCATCTTTATTTTTATTTTTATCAAAAATGCTTTCCAGATACCAATCGGGCTAATTAATTAAATATTAAATCATTATTAAAAGCATATTTTGATTAGAAATATTATAAAAAGCATATAAAAAAGTGATCTTGAAAAAAAAAAAAAAAGAAAAGAAAAGAAATCAAGCGCGTGATGAAAACTCTCTTTCATAGTTCGTGCAACTGGGCACTTAACATTCTGAGCTCTCACATCCAAATCCGCAACTGCAACTACATAATCCGAGTGTTCCCCACCCCTTCAACCATGCCCATTCCCTCCCATCCTCTCTCTCTCTAACAGCAAATTCCTGAACCATGCTCTTCTTCGCTACAATCCTCCGTCTTGTTCCTCACCAATGAGACATGGGCTTTTTCCGGCGACTCTTCGGCGCCAAGAAATCCGATCATTCCTCCGCTTCCTCCGGCAAGGACAAGAAGAAATGGAGCTTCGGGAAAGCCAACAAGGACAAGTCTCACGGTTCTAAAACTAAAGGATCTGATCTCAACCACTTTGATTCCTCCACTACATTCTCCGACTCTTTAGATGCAAATAAGCATGCTATCGCTGTCGCGGCCGCCACCGCCGCCGTGGCTGAGGCTGCACTAGCCGCTGCTCATGCGGCCGCAGAGGTAGTCCGACTAACAAGTGGCGGCACCGTCACTCGACCGGTGACTACTACGACACAGGCTAGTAGCACTAGCCATCGCCGGTGGGTGGAGGAAGCGGCCGCCGTTAAAATCCAGTCTTCTTTCCGTGCTTATCTGGTCAGTACGGAATTTCCCCTTTTACAATAATGACCCTGGAATTTAACTGCTTACTCTGTTCTCTCATTAATCAGTGTTTCTTACTCCCGAGGTTTCGTCTTCTTGGTTAATTCACTCACTTGTTGCTTGGTTTTCCGAATTCAATTTTGAATTCTCAACGATTAATTTCAAAATTCATTGACTCTCTGCCTGGGCTAGCTTTTGGCCGATTTTTCAACGTTATGGTGATTTTTCTTTGGCTGTGGCAAACGCTAATAATATATTCATATTTTACATGTTTTTCAATATCGTAAACATATTTTATTCATTTTAACGATATACTATTTCGTAGACATCGGTCATGGTACCCTCCCCCTCCCACCACACCACACCGCATCACACCACACCTTGCTTCCAAGAATAATTATTTATAAAACCAAAATTCTTTAGTGGACAAAATTCTGGAAACTGCGCTCTCCAGTGTGGTACAGGGACAGAATAAATAAGTTGCCGCCGACAATTCGGCACCCATGTGATTTCATCCTCTGACTCATACAACATATTCTCCTACAGTGCCTTTAGTTTTTAGAAAGAAATGAAATGTAATGATTTGAAAAAATAAAGAAAAAAATGAGATAATTAAAAAAATAGTAAATCATATTTATAAAGAGAAAAGAAATTTAGTTTTTGAGATGAGAATTATGATTTATGATGTTTTTGAAGGTTGTGATAATTCTTAAGTATAGATTAATGAGTTTTATTTTTGATTCATTTTGTATTGATTTTTTTTAATTCATTTTATTATATTATTTTTAAGTAACCAAATGAGAACTAAATTCTCTCACTGGTTTTCACTGTAAAATGATTTTTTTTTTTTTACTTTTTTGTTTTTGTTTTTGCGTGTGACTCCGTTGAAAGTTTTTCTTCATGTGTTGACTGTTGGGTGACCTTTTAGTCTAGAGGGTGTTATTTTGTGCTTTCTGTCAAAACTTTGGTGCTGTGGTGTGACGAAACCTGGCAGTGGTTTCTGTTTGAAGTTTGAAAGTGAATATAAGAGCCCCACATATTCGGTGAGACTTTTGCTTGCCTTTCCACTAGGGAAAGTAGAGTGGCCAATTTAAATATATTAATTTCAATTACTGTTGTTTTGTCTCCAAAAAAGAAAAAAAAACCTACTTCGATGTGTCTGTAAGAGGACGAAGAGGGAGTGAGGGACAGATCAGGTAGTAAAATTTTTCGGTGTTGGGGTCTCTTAATTTATGAGAGAAATAAATAGTAGATAGATACAATGATGTAGTGGGCTCTGTTTGAATGGTAGGCCTTGCCCTTACCAAATGAAAAGCACGAAACTACTTTTGGAAGAAAGAAAAGTGCTTTTCACCATATTTTAGAATAGAATTTTAAACTAATTCTAGCCTTCACGGGAAAGTTTCTCCGGGTAAGAAAACAAATCACAAACTGTTGGGTGTATACTTTTAGGAGGAATAAAAGTAAACAGTAAGGCTGCTAAGTTCATTGGTCTAATGGTCTTATGCAAGCACACTGCGATGTTAGGTATTGTGCAGCAAAGGAAGCTTCAGTAAATAAAAAGAGTAATAAAGGAATTTTTTTTTTTTGGTCCCTTTAAAAGTGGCTGCATGTGACTATGGTGTGTATTAATGATTTCATTTACCAGTCTTTCCTCCTTTATACACTAGGCTAGGCTGGTCTATCTTTCTTTAATCCTGCTTAGTTCGTGGTATAATCTCCTTAAAAGTTCTCCTGTAATTTCATTCTGAGGCTTCAAAGACGCATGCTTCAACTATTCAATCCTTGAATTTTTTTTTTTAAATATGATCTAGGAATTAATGAATAGCAAATGAAAAAATGAAATTTTTTTTTTAAACATGATCTAGGAATTAATGAATAGAAAATGAAAAAAACTTTTAGGGCTCTATTTTTTGTGATTCTGAGAACAAATATTTGTGGCTTGGATGTTTCAGAGACTTATTTCCTCGTAATTTTTACTTGATGGGGTTGACAGAGAGTAAGAGAATCTAAAATTGATGTTGTTATTGGATAGAGTTGTTAGAGTAAGAGAAGCTAAAATTCTTAGGATGGATTTGACAGGCAAGGAGAGCACTGCGAGCACTCAAAGCATTGGTGAAGTTACAAGCACTGGTGAGAGGCCACATAGTAAGAAAGCAAACTGCAGACATGCTCAGGCGCATGCAAACATTAGTCAGACTGCAGGCTCAGGCACGTGCAAGTCGTGTGTGCATGTCAGATCATCTGCATTCTGGCAAGCCTTCACTGTTTTATCATCCTGTAAGAAACTTATTTTTCTTTCTGCATGATCATCTAGATTTATTTATTTTAATAGGCAAAGCAGAAAGTGTTAGAAAGGCTAATATAAAGCATTTCTTACATACAAAATGAAGTAAAGTAACCTTTGGCTTTCTTCATTGGAGCTGACTTGCATTTGATTTTGTAGACTTCTCTACAACAAACTGATGTTAAGTTGCATATTAAAAAATACTGCTTATCAACAATGTACCTGCCTGATTTTTAACTATTTAATTGCAGGTACCTGACGATCATGAGCACCCACTCCGTGCCTATAGTACAAAATTTGATGCATCTTCTATCCTAAAGGTACCCATATTTCTTTCTTTAAACTGACTTTGTGATCTTTTGGTGTTTTAAATGGAAGCATGTCGTCGCCCAAGGATGAATAGGAAGTGTTCGATTTGACTATTTTTTGCTAAGATTAATAATCCTCTAAATTTTAGCTCAATTACATTGCCTATAACTCAGAGAAGCTGTATATAGTTTCTTCAAAAAGTTACTTAAACGTGAAAATAGTTAACTATGATAAAGAAGTTGTTCTGCTTTATTGCTTGTAGACGTGGCGTTTCTCTTTTGTGAGTTGATCTACTCCAGTAATTGCATTATTGTGCATAAACTTGCAGAGATGTAGCTCCAATGCAAATTTCAGGGAGATTGGTCCACAAAGAGCGCAGTTTGGATCACATTGGTTAGATCGTTGGATGGAAGAAAGTGTTTGGAGCCATTCCAGAGACGCTTCATCACTGAGAAATGTGTGCACGGATGATGAGAAGAGTGACAAGATCCTTGAAGTGGATACATGGAAGCCACACTTGAGATCTCATTGTAGCAGCAGCTCCTTCCACGCGTCTCAATGCTACTCAGCTTCGGACTATGTCAACAGCGAGACGGTATACGACTCTCCTTCGAAAAGGTCAGCAAAAGCTCTAAACCAAAGCCTCTCATCACTGAGCTCCTTGAAGATTCAGAAAGGAAAAGAAGTAGCATCAGCTCCAAGAACTGTTGAGAATAGCCCACAAGCACTTTCAGCTTTATCATCTAGACCTGGAAGTGGAGGTAGGAGAGGTGGTCCTTTCACTCCGACAAGGAGTGAGTGTTCTTGGGGTATCTTTGGCTATCCAAGTTACATGGCCAACACTGAATCATCAAAGGCTAAGGTTAGATCTCAGAGTGCTCCTAAGCAAAGGTTCGAGTTTGAGAGATATAGTTCAAGTGCGAGAAGCATTCAAGGGCTCTGGGATTCAGATAGGGAGGGAGATTTCAGGAACAGAGCCTATCCTGCTTCAACTCGCTTGAACAGAATTGGGAGTGCCAATTTAAGGTGATGCTTGCGTGTGTTATTATAAGTTATAACCGAATCAACCTTCAAGTACCCAGAGAAAAAGGGTGGTTTCCTTTTTTCTGCCTGGATTGTGTTTGCAGCAGTTGGATTTTGCCACGGAGATTTGAATATTTTTTTCTTTCTTTTTAAGTGGGCTAACTCTTGAATTGGATTTTTTTTTTTTTGGAATTAACTTTGGCTACTGAGGAGGACCTTGACATTTGTGTAAGACTCTGAAGTATTTTATCCTGCAATATTTGTCGAATGTAACTTATTAATGTGACCAGGCGATCTAAAGTACTAGTCCATTCATTGCTGATGTGATAGATGTATTGCTTTTAAACTGTAAGTGTGTGTTTAAATTAATATTTCTGTTGAAGACCCTTTTTTGCCCCCTGTTGAAGGATAAAAGAAATGTCTCTTTTTCTGGCAGTCCATCAAAATATTTTTTAGGGGTTGCATTAGTGATTTTTTTTTTTAATAACTTCTTCTTTAGTGCATTAGTGTTTCTTTCTTTCTTTCTTTCTTTCTTTCTTTTTTTTTCTTTTTTTTTTGACTACTACTTTAGTGTGTTGGTGATTTTCTTTTTAACTTCTTCTTTAGTGTATTTCATTTAAATGCTGAAACAAAAATTGAGATTCAAAGTTCTTTAATGCAAAATACTCTTTCTATCTTTATACATAAGAAATATTTTAGAATTTTTTTTATTCTTAAATATAAGGGTTTGTTAGTATTTTTTTAATGAATGTATTATTATACCTTTATTAAAATAGAGAGAAAAAGATAAGTTTTTTCATTAATTTATTTTAAAAAAAAGAGATTTATTTTTAATTTATAATACTTAAGGGTAAAATTAAAATGTTGTTGTACTTTTAATTAAATAAATAATTTTTATTGATTTGCATAATTTAATTAAAAATATTTTATATATAAGAACGAGGGACGACGAATGTAGTAATAGAGAGAGACTTACTTTGTATTGAACATTTAATATTCTAAACTTATATATTGAACATTAAACCCCTAAAAATTACCTTAAATTTTGACCACACAAATTTATTTCTGTAAAATTTTTCATTCAAGTTTTTTCGGCCACCAGGAAATTATCGTCATCTAATTCATGATTATCTCATTCATGTTGGTTGGCTGTTAACGTGATAATTGCAATGGTATATTGCATCATCAAATAACACTGAAAAATTTAATATTGTATTGCTAAACGGAGGGAAAAAACCAAGAAGAACATCTCCTTGATGATTATTGTTTTTTTTTTTTTTACCTCAATGATTATAACATTTGTTTCATTTATAAACAAGAAATTCTTCCCATGCATTACGTCAAAATAAGTTGTGACAAGATCATTTTTGGTGATGAGAGACACTAACTTTGAAACTTAAAAAAATTATATCACAAAACAATAAAAACACTACTGTCTAACACAAGTCACTATGTAATGGTAATATTTTCGTCAGTAAAATGTCATATGAGCTTTCTTTCTCTACGCATGGTATATAAAAAATATAGATTTATATATTAATATATCCACCAAACAACTTCAAATTTTGCATGCATAAAAACTAATTTGATTTATTTTCATGACATGGATAGGCCATTTATGATGGACCAACCAATTTCCAGCTATCATAGTAATTAATGCTTTGTAGGGACCAATGCTTTTGTGATGAAATATGATTGACATTACTCTCCATTATATCTCATGAACTGTCACACTATTTTAATTAAGTAAAAATCTTAATCATTTGTCTTATCCTTCAATACAGAAAGTTCCTCTAAAACATGCTTGTGAAATAATGAGAATATAATGTTGTAAAGCTAATTAAACTTACTGGTGGATGTTTATTCATCTCATTGCAAAACTTTCAAATTTAAGACTATGGTTGAAAAATCTTCTCTCTCTTACTTAAAAAAGAAAAAAGAAAAAGTCAAATCTAAAACATTACAGAAAGTTTAACCATGGTACTTTGAAGCTGATGATAGCTTTAAATCTAACTTCAACCACTAAACTTCTAAGTTGTGAATTTTACCTCAATATAGAAAGAGACAAATTTTTTTTTATATTTGTTTTTTTTTTTGGCTGCCAAATCCGTTCAATTTACCATATTTTGCTGCCGTGAAATACTTGTTCTTTGTTTTTTATTTGAATATAATTTAATAAATATGTATATATATAGCCTGCAAATTTATATTGTCCTGTATATCCAGGTCATTTCTTTTCATTGCATTTAATTCCTTATTTTGATTTATCACCACTATCAAGTACATCACAAAACTCTCTTGCTTGATGAAAACTTTTGAGATATAAAGTAGCGTACAATTCAACCTATCTACTATGAATATTTAGTTACAAACTTATAATCAATTCTCAATTATATATCCATATATGAATAATTAGATCTAAGGTCTTCTGCAATGCTAGAAGTTGTATTGGTTAAAAATATGTTAATTGAAATATACTCCCTGTGATTTCTATTATAAGCAAGGTTGTTAAACACATGAATTTAAGTAAACTTGTAATAGGAATGTAAATTCAAAATATAGACTCAGATTGTAGACTCGTAAGAGTTATATCTCTATTAATAATAGCATTTAAAAATAATGATTAAATGATTAAAATATAAAATATGACTATAATTTAATTTAAATATATTTCAAATATAAATCATTGAAATTAAATCTATCTACATTTATAGATTATTATATATATTCAACATAGAAATTTAAAATAGGCAACTTATTTTTGGTATTTTTTTGTTTTTTATTAATATCAATTTTCATTTTTTTTAGTTTTATTTTTCATTGAAATGGATTATATCACTTTTATGAATCAAGTTCTACACAATGTATACTTATCTTACTTAATGAGTTTATAAGCAGATTGATACGATAATTTATAAGTTAGAAATATAAAAATGATAAACTCGGAGAGTCAGCTCACTAGTTTAATTGAGTTTTATCTCATTCGAGTTTATGAACAAGTTAACATTATTTTGTAAGTTATAAACATAAAATGATAAACTCATATAATTAACTTGAAGTTTGACAACAATGATTACAAGGCACTTTTAACCACCTTATTGGAACTAAGGAGAAGTGGTCATGTGATTAACTTTATCTAAAAATAGAATAAATTTTTAATTTATTCCTATTCAAATGAAAAAATTTTAAATTTACATTATATTCTTCTCATAATTAATGAGTGTAAATAGGAGTAATATTAAAAAAATATAATTAATACTTCATTAAGTATTTTATACTAAAGAACAAAAATTCTTATAAAAGGTTTTTATAATAGGACCAGAAGTAATTGATTTGATTATCTATGGGTGTTCATGAGAGTCATGATCCTAGTTATCGAGGTTAATTTTTTTTTTTCTGATTATGTTGGTTTTTATGCGGAAAAAGCTAGCTTGATTGTTTAGAATCTGAAGACATAGACATCTAGTATTGATCAATTGCTTAATTTTTATGGTTTTTTTCCCCTATCTTTCTCTTTCACTGTTTATCTTTTTCACCTAAGCTTTTGATCTTGGACGGATGTCAAATGAGATGAGAAAATTCTAAGACGAGATGTAATATAGACAAAACAAAAGTTCATAACCGTTCCTTTTTCAACATACGGGACACATGATAAGATTACCCTAGATACATTCCTATCTCATTTTGTCCCATGAACACCCCTAAATCTCAGCCTAATCATAGTCAATTTAACAACTACAAACCACTACTTTAACCGTTCATGACCAATGCCAATTAAAAAAAACATTGATTCTTGCCGAATTTATCACTGTAGATTCACAAGATGAAATTATATCCCACTACTCTGCTTTTTTGGGTGGTCCAATCTGAGAAAAGATGACGCGACACAAATGGACCAGAGAAAGGAACTATACAGAGAAACATATTTGTGTATGTGTGTATCCAAAATCTCCATGCTTGTTTCCTCTTGTTCATCAAAGTACATTGAGAAAACTGTTGCCTTGGATGCTCACAATTGAGGTCTTAAATTTGAACAACATTGATTACTATTATGGGAAACTGCTTCTGATTGTGATGTTGGCGAATCAGTTCCCATGTTTCCCCTCTTTTGCTGTTCCTTTTTCTATAGTTGTTTTGTTCAACAATCAGCAACTTTTCTTTTATATTTTTTGCTTTTGTACTACAAAGCTTGACATTTACCATTAATTATGCCTCAATCATTTTTCTTTTTTTCATTCCCCCTAATCGATTTTTCTTCTTTTGGTAAACCGTAAAAGCCACCCAATACAAGCAAAAAATAATTTTAAATTTAGAGGAGGTGGGGGAGAATAGTTACTTATTCATGTGTTTTACTTTTTAAGTACATTTGGTAAAAAAATAAAAAAAATAATAGAGTTTCGCACAAGCAAATCACGGGATGACATCATTTTGCATCTCATAAAGTTGTACTGTGTTGATTCCTTTTTTTTTATTACTAAATATTCCGACCTTGATGACACGAGACTAATATCATTAAAAAAAAAATTTTGCTCATCCAAAAAAATAACTTAAGAAAAAAATCTCACTTATTAATATATGATATCTAGTATTCCTTGAAAAAAAGAAAGAAAAAAATGATGATGATGATGACGAAAAATGACCTTATAAAAAAATTAATAATGATTAAGTCCTTTAAATATTTTAGGTCATTCTCTGTAAATTTTTTTGTTCAACTAACATTCTTCTTTCAAAATATTACACCATCTAAATTTAATATTTTAATATTTTATAACTTTGAATTAAAAATGAGAGAATAACTTTAAATGGATAAAATTAATAATGTCTTGTTGAATTGGCGATTCATTTTCTCAATTTTAAAATTAAAAATATATTGTATTATATGAAAAATATCAATTAAGAACAAGCGACACTTCGGCTTTAAATATCCATGAATTTGATCATTAGTTGACTAACAAAATTTCAAAGAATGACAGAAAATTTAAGAGACTTAATCAATATTAATTTTCTTAAAAGCACTTTATTAATAGATATTAGATATTTTAAAAAATTACTCACTAAATTTTATTTTTACAAAACTTTAAGTTGCCTAATAATCTTAGAAAAAGAGTTTAGAAATAAATTATTAAAAAGGACATGCTAGATCAGCAGAAAATGGCAAAGTTAAAAGATCACTAATGAAAAGAGGATTTTCTCTCCTTTGAGCAATGGTCTAGGGGGAAAATGCTATACTTATTAATACAAGTGCCCTAATGCTCCTCAAAGGAAATTATAAGAAAAAAATATATTTAACTCTAATATATTTGTTGGACTTGATGAATCAGGTATTTACATTCAAATCATAAAAGCAACCAAATGCATAAAACTCAATATAATCGCATATCAATTTA